ACCATTTGAATTGTTCTGCCGTCTGAGCATTTTGCATTGTACATTTTGGGTAGGCTGGGCTTCAATTTCCGATCAAAGTAGCTATTGATTCGGAATCGGGCAGTCACTTCTTCACATCGAGATATCAGTGAGCCATTTATTGTAGTGCTGGGCGAAAAATCGCACGAATACGTTTATTTTCGTAGCATTTGTGATGCGCCATAAATCGAGGAAAGAAACCCGGTACAGGCTTGTGTCCATGGTTGACTTTTGTATGAAATACCGTGTGGCATCGGAAGTAAAGATGGGCCAGCACTGCCCAGTTGCATGTCATGCGCGATGCTGGTGGCTTGCCAGAATACTCATAGTTACGTTTGGCAGTACTTTGATTTTTCTGCCGTTTATAAACATTATGAAGATAAACTGCTGTGATCTTTTCTACAAGTCGTGTTCATACGTACCAAGAGCATGAGCATGATTCAACCGTCTGTTTCTATCTCCCGATAGCACCTGCGCGGGTTCAATCGGCCCTGCGACCCAGTGGTCTGACGCATACGGCAGGTCTGAGAACACATCGGTAGTTTTAGTCAGTTGTCCGTCAACCAACTAGCGACCAGATTATTCCTCTGGCCACTAATGGTAGTTCCTCCGGAAATTGTGGAACCCAAAGCCGATCACAGCGAGTGACTCATCATTGCGCTAAAGCCACATGGGTTTCTGACACCTATCCGTTGCTTGATCGTGGATACGAGCCATGAAAATGGCAACATGATCTGCCACCAGATAACCTTCGGTATTAAGCTTCTTGCCATGCACACGAGGCCTTCAACTATAGAGGCAATCCATTATTGTACCGAATAATCCCACCACTCCGTCCACATTGTGAAGGCGAGTTCACTCCCAATGTTAGATGATTATCAAAACCAGGTGATCTCCTTTCAGTCGTCTGTTACCGCTCACCAGGCCGGGCTGTCACACTCGGCATCTGATAACTTAGAAGGCTTATCTCTAAATGTGCTTTTCTAACAGGCATGAACAGACTTTGTCATCTTGGCTTTGGATATAGGACCTCGACAGAGAACGCGAAGTTCACATATCCAACGTATTTAATTGGACCCTATCTGTGGGAACGGAACATCTAGGTCAGGTGCGCCCAAACGGTTCGCAAGGTGGGCCACATTTTGGGAGGTAAAAATATTTCGGGCCATATTCAGTCTGACATTAAAGTAATATACTCATGAGTAGGGTATTTTGATGTAATTAAGGGAGGTTCATTGCAGCCAGTTTCCAAATCAGATAGTCGTCCACATGCCCGGAAAAGCACTAGACTGTAGTTTCAGCCTGTTGGGCATCGTCAGTAGTGCGCAGCCATCGGATCCATCAGGATTCGAACCCATGACCATCAGCGGCCTGAACCGCCAGTCAGCAGCTTATGCCACTGGGCCACTGGGGACAGCGTAGAGCGTACGCTCTACATGGCTCAAAGCCCACGGTATCGAGAACAAGTCTGGACAGGACACTGTGTAGTTTACGGCTGACAGTACGTCTGGCATGCATTAAGTGGGATAACATAAGCATGGTGTGTGTGTGTGTGTGTGTGTGTGTGCGTTCATGTGCATTGTTTATCCAATTGAGTAGGTTAGGGCCTTCAGTGCACATGTGATGGAACAATGGAACAATGGTACAATACGGATAAAAAGCCAAGGCTTGACAAGTCCTGTGGGATGGTTTGTGGGAATAATGTTAGTTCAAGTTACACAAAAGTGCAAAACACATCCATGCTGTCGATAATTTTTCTGTTGCCCGAATCCCAACGTTTGTAGTACCAAGTTTATTTTGGGTCGCAATATGATTATCACACTTAGTTTTTACCACTTCAGTCATGGAAGTAACTTTGATGCGTTTACAATTGGTAGTAAGCAACCATTCGTACTAAAAATGCCGCCCCCTGTCACTTGCTGCCCGGGGCGGACCGCCCCCCCCTCGCCCCCCTATGCTACGTCTCTGGGTCCTTCTAATGAGTCACCACCACGTCCACAAATGAAGGCTGCGCCAGTACAAACAAACGTAGCCAGTTCACACTGTGTGTGTGTGTGTGTTGACCGCGGAGTCGGTTACACAGGCAGAGCCGCATAAAAGAACATGTACACAGATGGGATCAGCTTGAAGCCGCGCAGACCCCTATCATCCTCAGCTTCGTGTTTGCGTAGAGCGTAGACTGCCTCCATAGACCAGCACTAATGGTCTCCGGTCACCGGATGGAGTTTGGCTCAGCGCTCAAATTTGGGTTGAGTCACGCTAATCCGTGTTTCCTTCAGTTTGCCAGGGCTGTCGCAATCCGTCGAATGGAGCCAGCCCATGACCATGAACCGACACAATTGTGTCGACAAAATCCACTTTGCGCCGGGACGAGGGTTTTAACGGCCTGATGATTACTTTGAATTGCCTACTCAGCATACCATGGTAAACCACTGGAGAGTAGTACGTCCAGGGTGGAAGATTACACGCAGTGACAAAACATAGTCACACATCTCGAGGGACAGAGGAGGATCGCAGGCTAAAGGCGTAGAACAAAAATATCTGATTCACATGACGGGACAAGGACAGCTGGTAGTTAAGTAGGGCACCTACAGTTCCCTGATGTGGAGGAGTTCCTCCCTCTTCGTAGAATTTAGGACACCGTATGAGAAGCAGTGGTTGACTGAAAGACGCCCAGGACAATATCAACTGCGTACTTCAGTAGGGTCGTCACCTCAAACTGTTATCGAGCCGATATAAGTGGAAAATAGAAATGAGAACAGAATAGCTCCGTGAAGAACATCGGTGCTCGTGATTAGAGGTGTGGAGCTTCTGTCTTAGTCGAGCAACCTGATTGCAACCGGCATAGTAGTCCCCAACAAGAGAAGGGTGGAAGAATGAATTCCACCACAGAGCAGACCTTACAAAGGCACTACGCGGATTAAGCAGCCGAATGCGTTGGTCGAATCAAGAAACCAGATTCGAGTGGACTCGATTCGATTGTCCAGGGACGACAGAATGCAATGCAGGAGACAATCCACTGCCTCTTAGACAGACTTTGAAGTACGGTAGGTAAATCAAAGGGTTGTTCGACCGGGTTTCTGCCAGCATCTTCTCAAGAATACTTTTTCGAGTAGAGTTAAAGCCACTGAAGTACAATCAATGAGTTGATATTTGCTTACTCTTTCCTTTGCTTCTAGTGTAGTACTGGTGATTCCCCGGCAGTCAGCAACTTTACGTGTTATGCACAATGTGTACGCAGTAGCTTCAGATTCGGCCAACAAGTTAGCACATTCTCGAGGGGAACCGAAGAGAGTCTATCTGGACTACTCACTTTATCCGGGTGCAACTAATTCCGTAGTTTTTGTACGGTTTCGCTGCCAGCGGAAGGCAATGGGTTTGCAGACCATTTAAGCTGGGCAAAGGATGAGTCTGAGATTGAAGTATCGTAGCAGTTACTGAAATCATGGTTTGTGTCTTAACGATCGTCAGACCCCGTGGCCAGGTTTAAGTGGATTGGTTCGCTTAGGGGAGAGTCGCATATGCTTGACTCACGAAGTTAGCTGCCTTCCTGAAGTTAGGAAAATGCTGAGGTTTATATCCTGCCTGATGCGCTATGCATTTATTGTTTAAACCTACCACAAATCAGCTCCGGTCTTTGTATTACTGAAATTTTTCGGATGATCTGCATGTAGCTCAAATTTACAATCATTTTGGCGTCTACGGTATGTATTTAGATTAGTATAAAAACTTCTATTGATACTTCATAAATGCATCACGTGTTACGGCTGCAATGTCTCGACACTCAGTTGACCAACTTGAGCAATAAACAGTACGTGTTGAGAGCCACTTCTCACCTAAATGCTACTGACGTGTAAATGTTCTCGTTGATCCATAGTTAGCATTAATCATGGCAAAGCGAAAAGAACCCACGGTTCAGTAATAGGGAAAAGAAGGCTTCCGAATAAGTAAGGCTGCTAGACGTAGCCAACATTTTGGCCCAATTTAATTTGGGGCATGTTGCCCAAAAACGGGTATTTTGTGACCAGCCTAAATACAAGGGAGTTTACCACCTTTCGGACAAATTAAAAACCTATTTGAACCATTTCCTACGAAAGCACATTAAGATCAGTAGGCGATAGGATTGTTGAAGTACCAGTTGTCTGGTTGAATTCCATATACTAGTCATTCACGGTTCCATTAAAAAGGAGGTACAATACTGCGAAATTGCGACCACTCATCTCACCTCGACGAGACCTATACTTATGTATTCGATTAAGACATGGACGACGAAGTAGTGATGCCCCACTGTCTATATAAAATCAGCTGTAGCTGTGGAGACGAATACGTTGGGCACATTAACCGGTCTGGGTGTCGGAATCCACGAACACATCCCCAAGTGGTTACGCAGCTGAATGGGATTCTTGAAGACTGAATTGGTCGAACCGGAAAACCAGCCGCCGCGGCATCCACAAAGCACTTTATGACTGCCGGCCACCGAGTCGATCCTTATGAGTTGTTCACTATTCTGATGCGCGATCATTGGTTTCACATATTTAGACTGCCGGAGGCCATCGTTATCAAACGGGAAAGACCACCGTTGTGCGTTCAAAAACGGCTGGCTGCGACCGTAAGCTGACCTGGTAGCGCAAGCGCCTGGGCATCTATGATCCCTCACTGTTGCATGTTCGGGATTGATAAGAGTGCACGAAATGGCGAAGTCAGCGCAAACAGTCCTATGATTTTTCCGTTTTTAAATCTTTTTGTTTACTATCACATGTCGTTGGGTATCATGGTATCGGCTTCAGTTGCATGAGGTGTGCCACAATGATATAGACTATGGGTGGTATTTATTCACTTACCACTCCTGAGACTGAGCTGGTTGCGTGCATCCTCAATCGTAAGTTAACGGCGCAGTGCTTTCATGAGTAGTCTGTGCATTTGTGTGGTACCATTGTATATTGCTTCCATTATGTCTGGCTAACTTTCTGTTATACTTGCAGACCAACATCATCCGTTCCGAAAGAGGCGTAAGTTAACGTGACTAATATTCAGCGGTGCTTCTTCTATGGGTTTGTTTGCATGGTGTGCTGTGCCTCAACTAATTCTAACAACGAGTCCGAGCCACTGTTACCGGCTTTGTGCCCAAGCATTGAATTGGTATGCGATTTTAACAATCACTGACCTGTGTATAGTCTGCTAGGCAGAAACTGGTGATTTGCCTGATTTCCTTGTCCTCACGTTCCCCTCCCACACAATTGGGTGCACCCTGGCTGTTCATGTGATAACACTTGTATTTTATCTGAAGGTGGACACTGCCACGATCAGACGGTGGAGCATGGTCTGGATCACAGAGCCAAACGGAAGCTAATGTTGGCATCCGGGTTGTGTCTGCTGTTTATGATCGGGGAGATTGCCGGTGAGTCAACTTGAAAATGCTCGGCTTGCCATCTTGCATAGTTGATCTCTAGAACGTTGTATCACGTTGTCGTTTAATGCACCATCTTCCCTATTTCATGTGGTATCTTTCGGAAGTAATAGGGTTGAAGGACGTACATATTGGGTACGCACCTCCATAGCTCACCAGACGCAGATTCCCCTGCTTAGTTTGACACAATTCACATTGACTCATGATTGGTCGAACCCAACTTTGGGAATGAAAGCTAGGAGTATACAATTCCAAGACCTATCCTTTCCTCGCATGCAATTCATTGTACTCTTTACACATAATTTAATAAATAGGGAAAAGAACTGTGGCGTTCTAAGTGACTTTAAACCAAGCATCGACCAAGTCCTAATGCCCACACACAGAAAACTATAGATGACCCCACTATCACTCAGAATTTGGCGATCACCTTGCAGTCCGCGTTGCACCCTTCAGGACTTGAACACATGAGCACTAGCCTTCTTGTTGATGATTTATATCAACGGTTGCACAAATCGCTACTTGTAATTTGGTCTCGTTGTCGTCATCTAATTCACAATGAAGGTAACGGCTGTCTAAATTCAGGGATACCATGGATCCCGAAGGATTCAACCGGAACGCGCTCTGTTATTGACCCCCGATAAGACAAAATAGCCGTCCATTGAATTCTTGCACGTGGCATCACAGCATTGATGAGTTTAACTGTGAAAAAACGCTTATATTATCAGAACGTACTTCAGATCATCATGATCCGTCAGCTACAATCTGGGGAGATGGTAAGAATTTACCGCACCTTTCGTTCCATTCAACAGGGAAATGAAAGCTGAGACATCCTAAATCAAACGAAAAGGAACGAGAGAAAGCTTTAATTTTGATTCAAGTTGGGATGCCAAAGTGTCATATTGACCGGAGTTGTTTGAGGACCAACCACAATCACACAGATCCTTAGGGCCGTACCAAGAAATGCGAATGAGTTTGAACCGTGCTTCTTATACAGTGCACTCCACAGTGGGTTCCTTGACTATGTTAGGCTCTTCTAACAAAGAGAACTGTGATATACCTCGTATCTGAATATGCTTTGGTGCTTTCTAGTGCACCCATCATTAGGAAGCCGGCTCCACAACTAGTGTCTGTGGTCCTTATCTGATGTCATTTTAGTTGCATAGTTGAGTCGCAGCGCAACTTCCCACCTCGGTCACGGCTTTCCACAGAATAATTCTCTCGTTTACTAGATTCACCTTCCCTTGATGCGGCCTTTAGGCAACACCGCATCTGGCTACACTAAATTTCCTTCAAATGCTAAGAAAAGATCCAGAATAGCTGTGTGATGTCCCGCCACAAACTCAACCAAGACAGTACTTTCCCGAGTTCTTTTGGTTTAGTGGTTGGCAATCCTGAACCCCAGCCATAGATTGTTGTGCCGCAGTTACTAACGATAGTGGGAAGGCGAACGGGCAGGAATTGAAGTAAAAGTTTATCTCGGGAAAACAACAGTTACACATTATGACGACAACAGTAAAAACCAACCGGAGCACCCAAAGTATGCGACCAGACTGCCAAAAAGGGTCTACCAACTAAAGAACCAATGGGATGCCCACAAATAATGAAAAGTGGTAACGTAACTTCGGAGTGTAACTGTGATCCACATCCAAAAACAAGCAAACGAAATGACACGTTAAACTTCAGTAGATTAGTACAAGAGAAAGAAAGTCTGCAGTTAGGAATGCTTACGTAAACTTAGCTGAATTATTATCGTCCCGCTAACATCGACCAACCTCCACCTACTGCTCAACCACGTTACCAAGTCATTGAGGTTGGATTTGGATGACCGGAACAACTGCGAAGAATAAGGCACTCCATGGACGGTTTGTGAATAGCGTGTGAAGCGTGCTTAGCAACCCTTCAGGCCTTCTTGAGGACAGTAGCCATAAACACGCCGTACAACTTATAAGAACAGTGTTGTCCATCACGTTCCCTCTGCATGTGTTAGTTGTGCACTGTTCCAACTGATGGCACCAATCCCACTGCAGCGTTGTGCTTTTGCTGATTTGGTGGTTACCGAAACGGTAGCAGTACGGCTCGCACTCCATTGTGCTATGTATCTATAGTTTGCCCGCTGTCTTTGAACAACGGTCTGTAGGTAGGTTTAACCGCCGAATTTCAGTCACCTTATGTAGTTCTGGAAACTTCATATCTTACTTCAAAAGCTTGCCATTGATTGGCCGATGCAATCGTGCGAGGAGCGCAGGGAATTGCCGCTCCGAACGTACGTCGCGTGACTTTCCGGCCGCACGCAATGGTACTTTGTAGTGATTGCGTTAGCACTACATTGGCACTGCATAAGGAGTGTCATTTCAAAGTGCGGTAACCGCAACAATGTATGCGGCTGGATCCAGCTCTGTCCGGTGTTCTGAGATCGCGGGCGAGCATGCGCCAGCACATCTGCGACCAAGCTGTCCAGCCACGTATATGAGATGATCCAAAGGTCAAGCGCTGTCGCAATGCCCTATGATTCGGGTTGCAGCTGGTTAATGGCAGCGCTAAGTTTACACAAATGTGTGGTTAAGATTCCACACGAGAACAGCTGACCTTGGACACATGGTTGCAAACATCTCTGGAGCTTAAGGTTTCCAAGGTGGTGCGCTATTCCACAACAAGTGTTATCAACTAATGCTTGTGGGTTGCAAATAATTAGCTGACGACTACTGTAAAGTGGCTCAAATACATAACCGAAAGCTAACATGTCACTTCGACGTTGGCCGTTCCTCGATCTACGCAGAGTAAATTACGCCTCTGAATATGCTTGATAAGTGTTGCTGGGGTTTTTCCATTGCCAATGGATCAGCCAGCGGCCTAGTTGCGGCACAATAGCGGAGGTGTTTTACCACCTCTAGCTGACGTGTATAATGATGGTGATGACTAGTTCGCCATGTCAATAAACTAGTGAGCAACGCAACACAGTTTAACTTGACGTAAGGATAAAGAAGCTTACGTACCACCGATGCACGGGGAAAGCCGCTCTCACTGTGTTACATCCATATCTGTATCCGGCGGAGGCAAGGAACAATGGGTGTTTTTTCGGGATTTCTGGATACTGGCGGATTGCTCTCATATGGATATCAGTTACTGTTCATCGGCGGTGGTTCAACTGCTTACCGTTTCCTACATTAGGCACTAGATAGAAGTACAGTATATCGGGCCTACAGACTTAGAATTACCAGCTCGGCTATTTCAGACAATACATGGGGTGGTAATTATTTCGAACCTCAGTGAATTGTATTCCAATCGATCCGAATCCGTCCCCAAGTTCTTGTTAATGCACCGACCGTGATCCAATCCAAACTCCACGTGGCAAACATGCGCGTGACACAGGACTAGGAGTGGACCTCCCCCGCTTCTCAGTAAACCTGATGCACGCGGACAACACTAACAGCTTCGTCGTTATGGTTAATTCTCTAAATCGCTGGCAGTAATTCAACGCAGCATGTTGTGGACAGTGAAGAGTGATACTGAATCTCATTATGGTCTGTAACAGCATCTCGCCTCCGAATGGTAGCGCGCAATTGTGGTTTAGCTAGTTCATGCTGTATTAGAAGATCAAGCCACATTTAACATAATACCGTACGCTTCGATGTGAACGCATGGCACTTCCTATGCAAGCAACACGCACCGCACTTGCGTAATGCATGCTTATTCGGTATATAATTACTTTTTGCTTTAACCGGATGTGTGTGTGTTGGCTGGTTCGATAAGATAATTGCCAACATCCGGGCTTCACTTTCTATGCTTACTGTTTTTATGGGCACTTAGAGAAATCTCTGTGGAAAGTTGGTGAGTGGTCAACTCTATGTACATTGATCGAAAACCGCTACACCGTGGAATCGTAGCGGCTAACTTCGGCAAACCGATGAGGACATAAGGACATCGCATCATGCCTCCTAAGCCTGCTATACTCTAATTACTTCTTCCTGATAGCATAGGTACCTTTCATGAAAGTATTACTATCATATTTGACTAGCTGGTGAACCAAACTACCGAGTCACTATATGAAGCTAAGGGACACGTGAGCTAGAACATTATTCCAAGTAAGGCTGTGGATTTATGCCAGTCGATAACAGCAGTGTTTCAGACCCAGAAATGCAATTTTGCTGAGTTAGTGCGCGTTGTGACCCCAGACTGTTCAAAGTACTAAACCACCTCGTTCGCCACTTCAGGATGCTCCGTAACACAAATACTTCCGTGTGAAAACTAGTTGAGAGTGGAAAAATAATGCGCGCTTTTTACTCATGAGCGAGATCCAAGAAAGGGTCAAGTTATGATCATCATGTTTGACAACAGCTCATACTGTAGCGAGAACGACGGTAGGGGCGCACAGTCTTTATTGCCAAGGCTCAACAGGTTCACAGGCTAGTATGCACGTATAGAGGACATTTCCAGACCACCACCCGCCACACATGGTCCTTTCGCTCGGCATCACATTCATGACACGATTTCAGCCGGTCAGCGAAGTCGCCGCTCACAAAATGGCCCTCGTATCTTCGTTTCCGCACGTCCTATTCTGACCGGGTTGAATTCGTTCTAATGCTCCTGACTTGCTTAATCGGGATTGCGTAGCTCTGCTTGTGGTTATTCCTGGAGGCTCGGCTAACGCGTAAATCTCTAGAAAATCGGACGGTTCACCAATACGTCCCCCCCCACTTCTCGGCCTAGGCCTGACATCGTTTGTTGTTCGTTGTCCATTTCCGGTTTGTCCCGAATGCCTCGAGGTGCTTTGTCGTCTTTCCCGGTGTCCTTGTTACTTTTCATCTTCGTTAGTTTTTGCGGCTTGTCCGTTCTGCCAGTGATCCTTGCCTTCAGTGCCACTACAATACGACAGTAGTGTGTCGTTCGCTTCCATTGGGAAATTATCGCACAATGCGTCACCAGCCGGCCGGTTTTTCTACGCTACCTGGGTGCTGGAAGGAGCCAGGAATAAAACAATGACCTGTGTCCCC